GTGTGTGTGTGTGTGTGTGTGTGTGAGAGAGAGAGTGTGTGTGAGTGAGAGTGTGTGAGTGTGTGTGTGTGTGTGTGTGTGTGTATGAGAGAGTGTGAGTGCGTGAGTGTGTTTGTGTGTGTGTGTGTGTGTTTGTGTGTGTGTGTGAGAGAGAGTGCGCGTGTGTGTTTGTGTGTGCGTCTGCGTGTGTGAGTGTGTTTGTGTGTGTGTGTGTGTGTGTGTGTATGAGAGAGAGTGTGTGTGTGTGAGAGAGAGTGTGTGAGTGTAAGTGTGAGTGTGTGAGAGTGTGATTATAGTGATTATAGTGAATGATGTTTGTGCTCCAGTGTTCTGGATCTCAACGCCTTCGAGAGGCAGAATAAAGCTGAAGGTCTCGGGATGGTGACGGAGGAAGGATCAGGTATGATTTATATGATTTATAATCAATAACTATGATTAGAGCTTGATCTGTGTAATTCTGTCAAGTGATAGAGCGGGTAATTTTAATCATCATTTTCATTCCACTTGATTTATCATGCCATTTCTGTGTTAATTTAGTTGAGTTATTGATTTTAAAACTACAGTAATGCTACTGTTGTGTTGAGCGCTCATGGCACGTATCCCAGAATCCATTCTGAAGATGTCTTTGTCAGATTTAATTATTTTCTCCTTATTCTTTACGTTTGTGTACGTTTGAGTGTGTGATGATGACGAGTGCTTGATACGGTCTTCAGACGTTTGTAAGCAGAAATACTCAGACTTGAATCTAAAAAAAGCTCCTGATGATTTTTTTCGCAAGGGTGCAATGAGAAAAAAGAGCACTCAATAGTGTGCGTAAGACACTAACCCTACCCTAACATGTGCTGTCTCTCTCTCTGTCTTTAAGAAGTCTGTCTTTGAGAAGTGATGCTTTTGCCATTTTAAGTGAACTGAACTTATTTTCAAAGCTCATTTCATTTGAGTCTCAGAGATGAAGCATGAAGTTTATATTCTTTTTCAGGTTTCTTTATGTTTGCTGTGTTGTAACATGACTTTAAAGGACTAGTTCACCCAAAAATGAGCGCTCGGTCATCGTTTAGTCCTCGTCACGTCGCTCCAAGCCTGCATGAGTTTCTTCCGTCAGTGGAACACAAAAGCAGGATCACAGGAGAATCAGATCCATCTCATCTCAGATCAACATTCATTCATTTAAAATCAGTTTTAGAATAAAACGACGAGCCGGCGATATTATAATAATAGTAATAAGCGATATAAGCCTTTGCATTTTTCTGAAAGCAATGGTAAAACATTGAAATAGTTTGAAAAGTTTTAAATAATTGTTTAAAGTGCTTAATAAGTAAATATATCTTCATGATTAAGACAGTTTGGTAATTTTTTTACCACAGGGTTATTAAAGTTAACTAAAAAAAATTTAATAAATAAAAAAAACATTTTCATTACTTGAAATAAAATAAATGTTAACTGAAACATCCTAAATAAAATTAAATAATAACGCTACTAAAGCTTGATGATAAAATTAAAGCTCGATTGTAAATGACAAAAAATATAAATATATATAAAAAAAATATTTTCACACAATAAATGTCTATTTCACTGTTTAGATGTTAATTTATATATTTAAGAGTAATATTTTTATTTTTATTTTAGAGGAATATGTTTATTAATTTACTTTTTAATTTTATGTTAGAGAAATATTTATCATTATTTTAGTAGAGCATTATTTTAGAGAATTTGTATTATTATAGAGTAATGTGTCAGGCTCCTCATAAATACAGTTTTGCACTATATTCCCGGTCTTCTGATGCTTTGCGTGAGAAACGCGCGCGTGCACGAGCTCAGCAGCGTCTGTCAGCATTGCCTTTGATTGTAAAAGAGCCTCATGAAGATTGTGTGAATCCTCTCCACTGAGGAGGTTTGAGCGGACGTGAAGCCGAGTAAACGATGGCAGGAGGTTCACGTTTGTCTGCACTACTCCTTTAACCTTCTTCCTCTGATTATTTCTTTCTCTCTGAATTTTGACTTGTTTTGTCATGAATCCCTCTCTAAACAGTTCTGCACTTTATTCACTCAGGTTTGGATTCAGTCAGCATCATTTCTGCTAAAGTCAGACTCATTATCAAGCGTCTGGTTACTTATTCAGACTAGTCCTAACCAGATGCGGCACGATGTTGATCTCAGTTCGGTTTCGGGTTCTGTCCCACAGCGTGAAATCTCATTGGTTAAACAGCATCTGTGCTCTGATTGGCTGTGATCGGTGTGGACAGATGAAATGTGTCGCGTCTGGTTAGATGCGTGATTGTTCGGAATGGTGCTGATTGAATCCAAGTCTGCTTTTCCCACTCAACAGCGACTGACCTTGTGACCTGTATGACCTCTCACTTTTTTCTTTCCTTTTTTTCTTTTTTTCCGTACCGTCTTCCCCTTTATCAGTCATCACTCATGAGCGTGGTAATTATGCCTTCTGCTGTTTTGCTGTGTGGTTAGCCCTGAGCCCAACACCTTCCCTCTGCCCTGCGTTTCCTGTCACATGCCCCGCCCCCAGTAGAGCAGTAGCCAATCACGCGCCGTCGCCGCTCTCCTCTCAGGACTTGCTCAGTTCTAGATGTAAGAACAGGGTTGCTGTTTTGATTCGAGAGGCCGATAATCCGATATTTCTACCGATATTCACCGATAACAGGAAACAGCTGTGTTGAGATGCAAAGTAAGTTCATATTTAAGGGTGTTTCTTCAACTATGGACACTGAGAAATTAAACTTTATTCAAACGCAGACAGGATCGCTGGAGAATCATTCATTCCGTGGTGGAAAATAGGGTTGCAAAAAGGTGGGAAATTTCCAGTAAATTTCGGAAATATTCCAGAAATTTTGGAAACTTTCCAGGATTTTTTTTTTTGGAATATTCCAGGGATTTTTGGAAAGTTTCCGGAAATTTACCAGAAATGTTCCACCCCTTTGCAACCCTAGTGGAAAATACATTTAAAATATTTTTAGAAAATGACTGACACCTTTGCTTTGTTAACTCTAATTTAGCTAGTAGCTAATAAAAAATAATATTTGGACTGTTTAGATTATATGACAAAATTATACTGACCTAAGTAGCAAAAATAGATTGTCACGCAATAAATGTTCATTTTACTTTGTTTAGATTATATATTTTTATTATATATAATCTAAACATTTTATTATATCACAATATTTTTATTTATAGAGTTTTAAAATTATTTTAGAGGAATATTCATTATAATTTCAGAGTAATATTTTATTATTTTAGTGTGATATCTTTTATTTTAGAGGAATATTATTTCATTTTTTACAGTAATATTATTTTAAAGGCATATTTTTATTATTTTAGAGGAACCTTTTTTTGAAGTATTTATAATTTCAGAGGAATGTTTATCATTATTTTAGAAGAATATATTTATTACTGTAGAGAAATATTTTTCATTTTAGAATATTTTTTATTATTATTACAGAGTAATATGATTATTATTTAGAGTAAAACATTTTATTAGAGTTCTCTCTTTTTATTGTTTTAGAGTATTTTTTCTTGTTTTGGAGTAATATTTTTACGAAGGATTTAAAAAAATGTCATTTTATTTTTGAACGTCTGGGTCTGGGATGAGGGTAAAATGATTGAAATCTACACATAAAAGGCATTTGTAAAGTAGTAACGTTGCAGTAGTTGCAGAAACACCCGTTTTCTGTTGCAGTCTCCAAAAGCAGTGGGCGTGTCTGTAGTCTGTAAGCTCCTCCCCTTCCTGCTCCTCCTCTCCTCTTCCTGTCAGGCTGTCAGAGGCGCAGTGGCTGGGTGTTTGGTTAGGAGCGTGTGTCTCTGTGGTTTGTGCTGCTCTGAGAGGATGATGATGATGATGGTCTCTCAGCAGCAGTCGCCCCAGTCTCTTCCTCTTCCTCCTCCTCCTCTTCCTCCTCCGCTCTGATTGGTCTGAGCTGTTCAGTCGGTGTCGTGTGCTGTCGTTCCTGCTGTTTCCTTCACTCTTCTTCTTCTTCTTTTTGTTGATGGTCAGGCTGTTTCTTTGTCCCACATGTTCTTTTCCGAGTGTTTGGTTGTGTTCTTCTGCAGATCAGTGTTGTGTTTTCTCTCCTCTCATCCATCTGCATTTCTGTTGACTGGTTTGATCATGCGTCATCAGTTCAGCGCTCAGTTTGACGTTTTAATGCTGGTGGGAATGATGGACCAGAGGAAGTCTAATCAAACCACAGATATTTGTCATATTTATTATTGTGTGTTTACATGTATACTCTTATCATAATGTGTACTAAATGCATAGCAGCTGTGTAATTTGGTGGTTTTGCATGCTCCATTAAAGTGAATTGTAATAATGTGTAGTTGAAGTCATCAGGCTTCTTTTCTGGTTGATCATCGTACTGAAGCTCAGCTGAAAGTGTGTTTGTCCTCCGTCTGAAACGGGTTTGTTTAATCTCTGCTCCAAAGCTGGAACGGACCTTAAAAAGGTTTTTAGAAATGATTTAGTGTGCTCTACATAGACAGCAACTCTTACCAGTTCACCTGCTTGTTGTGGAAAGATTCGGAACAGTTTAACTCGGAAAATTCTACAGTCTTTTCACTTTTAATTTGCCTCAGTCACAACTTTTTTGGAGTGTGTTGCAGCGATCAAAAGTAGTTTGTATTTACAAAATGCAGTTGGTCAGTGAAAACATTGGAAATCTTTGGTAACAAACGTTGGTTTTCACGAGACTCACCGGTGCATGCGCAACGCTGAACTCATACGTCATGCTCCCGAAGCTGCTTCTGTGTAGGACTGCTGGTGCAAGCTAGATTAAGTCAAGTCAAGTCAAGTCAACTTTATTTATATAGCGCTTTTAACAATACAGATTGTGACAAAGCAACTGAACAGTATTAATTAGGAAAATAGTGTCAATAATGCAAAATGACAATAGTAAA